TATTACATGAGCAAAGCCTTGCACGACGCCAAGCTACACTACGCGCAGATGGAAAAACTAGCTAGTGACAACAGCTCGAAAGTTGCATCCATATTTCCAAGAGTACTCGATAACTGTCTTCATTGATTTTCCACTTAGACAGGTCCTGCACCGCCCCGACACTTCAGGACAAATGGTAAAGGGGTCGTAGAGCTCGGACAGTTTGACATTCACTACCAGCCCCAAACCACGATCAAAGGGCAAGTCCTTTCTGACTTCATCACCGAGTGCACCCCGGGAATCGAGGAAGCCTGAGACAAAGAGCATTAGGTGATGCACGTGGATGGGTCCTCCACCCCCGTCAGAGTAGGTGATGGGGTCATTTTCATGGATCCCCAAAAGAAGTTGTTTTGTTTACTCGGTTCAGTACCACTTCCTCACAACAAACAACTAAGCTGAGTACGAGTAATTCCTATTGGGGATGGCCCCGACAGATTCAATGAGCTTAACTGACCTGGTAATCCATTCCGACTCTATGTTGATGGTCAAACAAATTTCTGGGGAATACAAAGTCAAAGAGCTGAGGCTATCCCCATTAGTCCTCGCGAAGAAAAAAATGGCCAAATTCGGGGTCCGCAAGGAAAATATCCTTAGAATGAATAAACGTGCAGGCGAGCGCCCTAGCCCGGTTGGCTTCAAGTGCCGGCATGGAGAACGTGGAATATGTCTAAGTAGGGCAAATGCAGTAAGCCTCAGTAATCGACGGCTCCATGATGAACATCGAGCCGCCCACCCAAGGAGATAACCTTGGATGATTCAGCTGATACGGATGTACCTGGAGATTGAGGCGTTACCCGCTCACCCAAAGAGTCCAGATCACTCTGCACCCGGGCAGCTCGATTCATTGTTATCGCGGCTATGTTCAAACGAGAATACTCGACAACCTTGTAAAGTTCTTGGGTGAGAAAGAGTCCGAGTACGTGATGAAAGAACTTCACGAAGGTGTTTGTTGAAATCACTCTAGAGGATACGCCCTAGCCCAAAAGATCTTGAGACAAGGTTATTACTGGCCGACCTTAAAAAAAAGATGCCTCGGAACATGTTCGAAGGTGTGAAAAATGCCAAGTATTTGCGCCAAACATTAATCAACCATCACGGCCCATGAAATCCATATTCAGCATGTGGCCCTTCGCCAAGTGGGGGATAGATTTGATTGGACCCTTGCCAACCGGAAAAGAGAGAGTGAAGTTCGCTGTCATAGCATTTGACTATTTTACTAAGTGAGCAGAATTCGAGCCCATGGCGACAATTACCAAGCGAAGATGGTCTACTTTCTGTGGAAGAACATCGTGCTTCGCTTTGGAGTACCAAACTCAGTTGTCACCGACAACATACAATAATTTGAAGAAAAGCAACTACAATCGTTCTGCTAAGAGCTTTGTATCAAGCATTACTTCTCTACTTTGTATCATCCTCAATTAAATGCCAGGTAGAAGTCATAAACAAAATCATCAAACAAGGGTTGAAGCTCCGACTTGAATCAACAAAAAAGGCCTGGCCGAATGAGCTAACAAGCGTATTGTGGTCGTACTGAACCACAACTCGATCATCGACAAGAGAAACGTTTTTCTCTCTCGCTTATGGTTCTGAAGCAATGATCTCCGTCGAACTCGGTGCTCCGACATACTGGATAACAAATTCTGAACTCAGAGTCCCTAAGGGTTAACCTCGATCTTGTGGAAGAGTATCGGTCACAAGTCGAGCTAAAAAATAAGCGATGGAGCGAGAGATACATCAACTCCCAAGTCAAGCCCCACACTTACCAAGTCGGGAACCTAGTGTTGAAGAGGGTAACAAGGCCCGACCTCAGGCTAATCAAGTCGAAATATGAAGAACCCTGAAAAATAAGCGAAGTCCTCCCACACGGGGCCTATCGACTAGAACATCCGGATGGGACCCCACACTCCTACCCCTAGAATGCAACCTTCCTCTAAAAATACTACCAGTAAGGCGACTTAGCTTATTAAGGTCATAATTTATAAGGAAGTTCCTTTAGATTCCTGTAAGTTTTGCCAATTTTCATATATAAGGCAAAAAATGTTATAACTTTGTATGTTTCACACAAGCCGAGCACAATAAGTTACTCAGACCAAACCAAAACACCCTCCTAACGGCATACAAACACTCAATCCAATTAGGCAAACAAATGAAAAAGCTGAACCACTTGTCCTAGTCAAGTCGAGTAAGAAAAAGTACTTCAATAAATGGACAAGCGTCTATAGAAAGCTTGGAAAGAAGTAAAAGTCGAGCAAGTTAAGAGGATCAACTCTTTCATTTCAAACATGACGTTATAAACATTCGAGGGTACATTCAGAAGATCTGATCTAGTACTACTCTCGTCCAACCACGACTGTCTACTGTTACAAAGTGTCGAAGAGCTTCTCAGCTACAAAACAAAAAGATAGGTGCAGACCACAACAAAAACAAAAAAAGAAGAGACAAGCTCGATGGATCTTCTTAAGGAATATGCGGAGGCAGGTTCCATTGTGCCCATACAACCCAGGGCCAACTCCAAAGAACAAATATGGTGCGAGCTTTTGTCTCACTCAGATGGAGCGGGCTAGAGGCCATGCTAAGAGGCTACTGTAGTTTGAGCTTGGTAGGACTCAACTACAAAAAAAATGCCAAGGGTTCAGAACACCTTGTTTGGCCGGCCACGGGGTAACCGAATGCTTCTGAGCAGAGAGTGGGACAATAAATGGCTTATCGAGGTCGTCGCTAAGCCTACTTAAGGCCTCAATCCAATTCCAATGGGGATTCTAAGCAGTCGAGGAGCCAAAACCACCACCTAACATCTGCATGACATAGAGATGTAGTGGGAAGATATTGGGCCGAAATGAAGAATGACTGATAACATAGACAGAGCCTCCACCCCTCCCAACGAGGACAACGGTCGGGCCACAACGAAACCCCCGCCCAACCCAGGCTAGAATGTACGGGAAGAGGTCTCCTGAGGTCTTGTACGTCTTCTTGGGCACATTCCTAAGATATTTTACGCCTGCTCGGACGCAAAGGGAGCTGAAAACACCTCCAAGAGAGAAGCCCGATCACAGGTAACTGGCCAACTTCCCCCCTACAACCACCGTCGGCGGTAGAAACAAGGCCATCAAATCCTTTTCTCAAAGAAGGGGAGTATTGGCTGAAGGAAAGAAAAAGTTATGAGGAATTAGAGATAAGTTCCATGCAAGACAAACATTTAGACACAAGGAAATTCCTCATTTTATAAGCAAACTGAACCCTGCCTTTAATGTCGCACATAGAAGCGAGTCCAACGACCAGCTACCCACAATAAATGGGAATTTGAAACAACGTCAATGATTCGTATCCCGAAAACCCCAATTGAAACCGACGGCTAAATAAGGAGCCACGTCGCTGGCCAATCAAATCTAATGCGCCTTTTGAGGCAGGAAGAGAGGAGCAGTTGGGACACGTAGTATTAGAGAAAACGTTTCAGAAGCCGCCGTAAGTAGTCTGACGACGCACTTGGAATCAGCACACGCGCCCCGAAGTGATACACATAAAAAACTGTCATGAGCGGTCGAGACCAAGTCAACTTAACAAGCCGAGCACAACAAGTTGCTCGGGAAGGCTACAATGCCAATTATTGTGTTGAGCCTACACATGATGAGCACATACAGGTTGCTCGGTGAGGCCACAATGCCAATTAGTGCGTCGAGCGTACGCACATTGGGCACAACATGTTGCCCAGTCAATTTATGTATCGAGCGTACACATACCGAGCACAACAACTTGCTCGGTGAGGCCACAATGTCAATTAGTGCATCAAGCGTACGCACGCCTAGGACAACAGGTTGCTCGGCGAGGCCACAGTGCCAATTAGTGCATCCAACGTACGCACGCCGGGCACAACAAGTTGCCCAGTTAAGCTACAATGCCAACTAATGTGTCGAACATACACATGTTGAGCACAACAAACACGCGCCATGTTAGCCAGCCGAAATTCCGACATAGATGTGGTCTAGGGCTCCACAGAATTAACCTCGAGCCAACAAAACATACTTTACGCTCAGGATTCTTTTATATACCTGACATACAATAGAGTTTTGGAACTTTTGCAACCGGAAATGGTGAGAAGCACAACCCAACATGTAGAAGATGAAGAAAAGCACCACAGCTCTTCTCCCACAGGTAATCAGCTGTGTGCATATGCACACGACTGTTTGCTTGTTTTGAGTTTTCTAACCGATGGGAATTTTTGAATTTAGCAGAAGAGAGCAAAAGAGGTGATTCCAAAGTTAACATTTCCCGTTCTAAGCATTCGGAGACAGAGCAGCGCAGAAGAAGCAAAATCAACGAGAGGTGAGCTTTCATTTAATCAAAAAAATTCTTGGTTTGTGGATTCTTCTACTGTTGGCTTTACCTGTAATTTATTTGAGGTTGCTGTCGGGATTTAAAATAAAATGGTTTAAGTACTTCCAGACTTCCTGTGTGGTGTGCTGATTATTACACCAACTATCTTTTCCTACTTCTTTTTGCCTGTAATTTGGGATAATTCTGGTATTGTATGGTTAGGAATTAGCAAATTTGAAGCTAATCTATAACATTTTTTATGGGGTTCAGAGGAGTTCCCAACATTAATGCAAGAGGGATTTTTGATGATATCGATGAGAACACCCAAACAGCGCTCCAAATATCCCGTCAACCCAGAAAAATCAGAAAAATATAAATCCATCTCCAACACTGTACACACTATCGTTGTTACCACTACGTCTAATACTGTCCAAACAAGTAGAAAGATCCTATCTGAAATTGATGGAGATGGAGGATACGCAGCCAAAAGTTTTCGCACCTCAATGATAGACGATGGAATCATCAAAGATTTGACCCTTTCGAACTATGTCTGTAACTCACTAAAGGCCCAGGAAACAAAGAGAAGATGTGTAGGAACGAGATATCCAGCAACAAGAAGAAGGAAAAGGATTAAATAGAGAGAAAATGACTCAAAATCAACAATAGATTGGTAAGGGTCAAGACCTTAGGCAGCTCGCCCCATCTAGTTTCGGTCTTGCTAACGGGCGACAAAAGGATGTTGGCCTTCCGCGGGGAAGGGGACCTCCCAATTCCATTTGACCTAGACAGCCAGTCTATCAAGCAGTCTACTGATTCTTTGTTTTTCCATCTTTGGACCTGTTAGCTGACCCGCTGCGTGCTGAAAAGTGCACCGATATTAAAGTTTGTGAGACTGGTCCCTCTTTTAGTAGACTCAGCTATGAATATGAATGAAGAAATGAATGCCTTTCTAGCATTATGTACTACTTAGACCTCTAATGTTTTGCTTAAGAGTAAATCATTGTCAATCTCTTACCTTATTCTACAAGTTTTTTGTTGCAGATTCCAAATTTTGAGGGATCTAATACCCGAAAATGATCAAAAGAGAGACAAAGCTTCATTTTTGTTGGAGGTTGCTTATGCTATTTAAGCAGTTCCTTATTGCTGTCTTTTATCAGATACGTTATTTGCATCACAAAGTTTGAAAGAAGTGTTAATTAAGGCCATCGTCGTGCAGGTTATACAGTATATTCAATTTTTACAGGAGAAGTTGCAGTTATATGAGGGCAATTGTCAAGGTTGGAGCCCAGACCCTGCAAAGTGTTTGCCGTTGGTAGTATCTACATGCTCCTCTTCCTTTTTTGCTTAAAAATGATATGGAATCTTTTGTCAACCATTTTTCTTGTCACCTTTAAAGAATAAGTTTAGAGGATATGAATTTTTTAGCCCATTAGGCAGTGAGTGGTCCTACAATTATTGCTTTTTATTATGCTAGAGCCTTTCTCTCGGTGTAATTGTGATTTTACGTTGTGTTTTGATTAACATATGCATGTGTCCAATCATTGCTGATGCACACGTCTAAGTGCAGTTGATGATAATGCATTATGATTACTATATATGTTAAATTAGATATCTAGTTTGCTATTATCATATCTGATGTTAACTGCAATCTCGTGGAAGGAAATATCTTTCCCTAGGCAATATAAGTTAGAAACATTATTCCTATGTTGTTAAACAAGTTCATATTTTATTTACTAGCTTCTCCTATTATTACTGACAGAGGTTAAATCCTGGGCCACTCGAGAGCTTCCTTGATAATTCACAATTTGACAGGACTTTTTCTGGAGATGAAGACAAGTTTCTTGACACAGCACTGGTAAGTAGTGCACAAAACTCACCGAACATGCCACTGCAAGCACTGTTGCTTGAGGGATCTTATCATGATGCTGAGCAAGCGGAGCATCAGTCTTGGTCCCACTTTTGGCCCAGAGGGTCGTGTCGTGATGATTGTTCTGTTCCCTTATATGCGGCAAACAAGGAAGAATTGAGGAGTGACAGTGGAGAGGTGACTGTGTCAATTGCCCATTCTCGAGGGTAAGTTGAAAAAGGAATATGACCATTGATATGATGATGTGCATAATTTAGCTGTTTGGTTGGCTGCACAATATCACACGTGTTGTCTGGTAGAAAATAGAGAATGCCTTTGAGTGCTGTTGGTTATGATCGCTAAGGTGGTACATGCTATTGAATTTCTCTTAATCTGGCCTCTTTTGCTTTGATAGCTTTAATTCAGTAGTCAAGTCAGTTTTGAGTAGTTGACCATTTGGTGGACATCCGATAAAATTGGAACGATACAGAGAAGATTAACATGGCCCCTGCGCAAGGATGACACACATAAATCGAGACCAGTTAGAGGACATTTGCTTATATATGAGATAACATCATATATCTAACAATAGTCATGTGTTGTACTTCTTGTAACCAGTTAGACTTTACTTCTTATAGTTGGCAGAAGTCATATGTTCTGCTTTGTTTAATCATACAGAGAATGTTGCTTTTTAACTTCTGTGGCATTTGTTAACATCGTACCGGAGGGTCTTAGATAAAGCCATTGTTTTTTTCAGTTCTTTTTATTTCTGTGTTAGCATGATCACAAGTCCTTTTCCCCTCATCTCATGTCTAATGGACTTTATCAGGCTTACAATGATACATTTTTGGTGGACGTAGTTCAGGTTGTTAAATTCTCTGAAAAATTCGCTGCAGTCATCAGGAGTGGATTTGTCCAAATCCAGCATTTCGGTCCAGCTTGATGTAGGAAAACGAACAATCGGCAGAAGTACAAATGCGATGTTTTTTGTCAGGGTTACTCCCTCTCTCTTCCTGCCATGCATACGGATTTGTCCATTTAGACTTGTCTTTCTCATTTTGCAAGTTTTTCATACTTCTAAATGTCCAGAATTATATGAGAAATGCAATGAATAACCTTATCAGGGAATACAAAAAAAAATCTAAAATACGAGCACATGAGTGCTGCATTCTTAGTGCAGTTTGCTTGCAATCGTGTTTTCTGTGTCCTCGTTTTTGAGATTTCATTGCATAAATAACACAGGGTTTCATCCTTGAAAAGCACAAGAGCTTCCTTGATATCTGTTTCTTTTGTACAAACCGCACCCTAAACAGACGCATATATGTGAAAAAAATTATCAGGCTGTCTGTATTATAAAATGCATATGGGTTGTATTGTAATCTGATCAACACTCAAGAAGGATAGTTTCTTGGATCATGCTACATGTACCTTTTGCTGTACCACTTGGTTTACATCGAAGGGGTATATGTACCCATTTATCCTTAATGAATAATTTAGTAAAATTATTCATTAAGGATAAATGGGTACATGTACCCCTTGGATGTAAACCAAGTGGCACACCAAGGGGTACAAGTAGCATTATTCTAGTTTCTTTACCCTGTTCTTATTTCAAGTGTTCTGCACAATTTTTCCATATATCTATCATTATCATCCTTCCTCTGTTAAACTACTGTCTGTATTTAGTTTTACTTAATAACCTTTCAGGATGACGAGGATGCTTCTTGCCTCGATTATGGAGCTCCCACAAATATTTCTGCGGACCATGAACATCCTCAAAAAAGGTTCAGAGCTGATAGA